AAAGGCAAGTGGTTCAGTTCAGATTTAATGAGGGTAATTATTCTTACTTACTGCCTTGCTTTCAGTATTCACCCTAACCCATTTTAACAATAAATAACTACTTGTTTATTGGGGCTTAGGGACCGGGAATTATTGCAGAAAAAATCCTCATCATGATTCTGGAGAGGGAAAATATTTTCTAATAGAAAAATTGGTTGAAAAATTCACATTGAAATAAAGGCCTTTTTGTGTTTTTTATACTTGCACTATTTGTTAAAAGCCAAAATACTTTCTTAAAATGTGCCTTTATTTAAAGATTGTTTATTTTTTATTACAATTTAATACATGCTTTTTGAAATAAAATTTAAACAATGAAGAATGAAGAATTAAGAAAATGAGTCTGCTTTGATCCTATTCCCTAAATCCTGCCCCTTCTCAGAGAGAATGTCTAGTTTTTGTATGTTTCCTTCCAGACCTTTTTCTACATGTCTACATATACAGGTTTTTTAGAACAAATAGCGTATATTAGACACATTATGTGTTATATACAACATTCTATGGCTTTTTTCATCACTTCTCATTATGTGTTGCTACATAAAGATTTACTTATTTATTTTTAATATTCTCTTGGATGTACTCTAATTCATTTAATTATTTCCCTGTTGACGAATATTTAGATTATTTCCAGTATTTTGTTATAGGTTATTTATTCAACAAATGTTTATTGACTACCAGACAGTGCTAGTGAACGAAACACAAAAATTCCTGCTCTCATGTAGTTACCTCTTTTTGGAGGTGGACAGACAATAAATGAATAACATAAATGTCAGATGCTAGTGAGGACTGTAAGGTAGAGAAGGAGATAGGCAATGCCCAGAGTGAGGGCAGGGGTGTGCATTTGCAATAGGGTGGTCAGGAAGGATTTACCAGTAGGTGACATTTGAGTAGAGAGCTGGCTGAAGGTGAAATAATGAGCTCTGAGGCTGCTAGTTGGGGCAGCAGACGGGGAGGAGAGCATTCTAGGAAGGGGAGAAGTAGAAAGGCCCTGAGGTAGGGGCATGCCTGATGTGATGGAGAAACAGCAATGAGGCCGTTGTGGCTGGAATGGTATGAGCAAGGAGTAGAGTGGGAGGAGCTGAGGTCACAGAAGGCAGAGTGAGTCCGAGTGATTGTGTTGGGCTTTTTAGGCTATTGTAAGTACTTTGCCTTTACTCTGAGTGAGGAGGCAAGCCTTTGGAAGTTTCTGAGCAGAGGTGTGATATGATCTGACTTAGGTTTGGAATGATCACTCTGCTTTCTTGGTAATAAACTATTGGGCTGGAAACAGGGAGGCCATTTAGAAGGCTATTGCAACAATCCAGGCAAGACACAATGATGACTTGGACTGGTTTGGACTAGGGTGGTAGAAGTAGAGGTGGTAGGATGCAGTTAGATTCTAAATATGTTTTAAAGATAAGGTGCTAGAGAAGAGTCAAGTACCACTCTGAAATTTTAGTACTGAAATATTGGAAAGTTGGAGTTGGCATGAAATGAGATAGGGAAGACTGCAGTAGGCAAGATTAGGAATTTGGCTTTGGGCACTTTACCTTTGAGAATCTGTTAACATCCAACCAGAGGTATTGAGTAAGCAGTTGGAAGTGTACGTTTGGAGTTCAGTGGGGAGGTCAGGGCTGGGGATACAAACCTGAGAGTCGTCAGTTTATTAATGCAATTTAAAGCCCACAGCTCACCTAGAGAGTAAATTAGAGAAGAAAAGAGAATCAAGGAGAGCCCTTGGGCACTTCAAGGTTAAGAGGCTGAGGATATGAGAAGGATGCAGCAAAGGAGACCAAGAAAGCAGCCAGGGAGGTAGGAGGGAAACCAAGAAAATGTGATGCCCTGGGAATCAAAGGAGGGAGTCAGTGATGTCAACTGACAAGATCTGAGAATTGACCATTGAATTTAACGGTGTGGCTGTCTGGGTGACCTCGATAAGAGCAATTTTGAGTGAGAAGTGGGGGGCCTGATTGTGGTAGATTCAAGAAAAAATGGAAGGAGAGAAATTGGGACTCTTAGTATAAGCAACTCTTCTGAGGAGGTTGTTCTAAAAGGGAGATAGAAAATGGGGCTTTAGCTGGAGAGGGATATGAAATCAAGATGTTTGTTTCTTGTCTGAGATGGAGAAATAAAATGTTTTAAGCTTATGGGTACTGATCCAGCAGAGGGAAAAATTGGTGCAAGAGAAAATGGGGAAAATTCAGAGAAGAGTTTGAGTCTATTCTAACAAATTTATATGCATATATACGAGGATTTCTGTAGGCTGGATTCTTAAGAGGATTTCCTGAGTCAAAGGGTATGTGCGTTTAAAAATTCTGTACCAATTTATGTTCCACCTTCAGTGTATATCCTTGCTAACACTGAACTTTGCTAATCTTTAAAATTATTGCCAATCTGATGGGTGATATTTTCATTATTTTAATTTTTTTGTTGCTTTGTAGGAACTCCTTATATAATCTACTTAGTCCTTCGTTATATCTTGGCAAATATTTTCTCCCAGGCTGTTTCTTGCTTTTTAACTTTGCTTAATGGTATACTTTTACCATATAGGTGTTTTTTCAGTTTTTATTTAGTTAAGTGTTTCAGCCATTTCCTTTTATAGCATTTGGGTTTTATTTGGATTATGTAAATATTTTATGTAATCTTTTAATATGCTCGTACATTTACCTTTTTAATTCATCTGGAGTTTATTTTTGTGTATGTTATGAAATAGGTATCTAAGTTTTTGATCTTTTTCTATGTTTTTAAACAGTTAAATACCATAGAATTAACTGTTTCTTGAAGGTTTGGGAGAAATTACCTATCATATCTTCTAGGCTTGGAGCCTTTTGGGAGATCTTTGACTACTTAAAATTTTTTTTTCCCTGTGGTTAATGATCTATTTGGTTTGTGTAATTTTTTAGGTTAGTTTTGGTAATGATTTTTTTCTCAGCACCTCATTTTTTTCATCTAGATTTTCAAATTTATTGGTTTAAAATTCTACATAAAGAGAAGAAATACTGTCTTCTCTATATTTGCAGCATATCCCTTGTACTTACGCCGTTATCTGGGCAGCGGATGCTGGAGCCAGCCTTGCACAGATCTAGAGATTGGTTTCGCTGTTTTTAGCCCTCATGGCCCAGCTCTTAGTGCCCTTCATTTCGGGGTTATTCCTAGGTTCTCTTTCTCTTTTGTTTGTAAGGGATTGCAGACTTCTTGGCTCTCTTTCCTATCAGTCTGATCCCATTTGCTCTTTAGCTTACAAAAATTTCTACTGTTGAGGTCTCCTGATGGGTGTGTGCCCCTCTTGGTTTCCAGCATTACTGTGAACTTATTTTTGTATTTCTTCTGTCATTTTGGAGAAATTTTGATAGGGATGAGAGGCAAATATGTATTTTCAGTTAGCATTTTGAAATAGGAAGTCACAATTCTTTCCTGTGTGGTTTTCTTTTATCATAGTCCTTTGTTTAATTACTGGTTGCACAGTAGTTGGATAGTAACTTTACAGTGCAAATAGTGATAGTCAGATGGGCCTCACTTTTTTTTCTTTAAATGAAACCAGATGTCTCAGTGGAATATACTCATTGAGTAGAAATGTTGATATATTATGACTAAATATTCAAGTAGTACTTTCTAAACTTAAATGACATAGTCATAACGTTTAGAACTATAAGAGACTTTACAGATCGTTAGACCAACTGCCTTATTTCATGGATGAGGTATTTGAGGCCTAGAGAGATTCAGTGATTTATCTAGGGTGACAAAGTCAGTGATCAAGCAAGAAGGAAAGCCCAAGTCTCTTAACTTCAATTCTGCTATGCTGTTTGCTATTTTGCACGTTGTTGCTCTTCTTTATTTTTATTTTTTTTATTATTATTTTTTTTTGTGAGGAAGATCAGCCTGAGCTAACATCCATGCCAATCTTCCTCTTTTTGCTGAGGAAGACTGGCCCTGGGCTAACATCTGTGCCATCTTCCTCCACTTTATATGGGACGCCACCACAGCATGGCCTGACAAGCAGTGAGTCGGTGCGTGCCTGGGATCCGAACCTGGGCTGCCAGCAGCGGAGCATGTGCACTTAACCGCTACGCCACAGGGCCGGCCCATGCTATTCTTTAGCTGTGTAATGAAAGAGGTATTTTCAGCTAATAAAAGAGTTTTTTTAAATGTAAAGATGGTACATATGGCTTGGAATTGCTTCTGAAATTTGGTCTTAGATACCATATTAAATACATTGATGTGGATTTTGCTTTTTCTCACATAGATATTAAATATTATGATATAAATGTGAATTTTAAAAGAATGGGCTGTCAAGGTATGCTCTAGCCTAAATGAAAACCATATAGTTTATATCTCCCAAGTTTCCTCTTTTCTGCTTATAGACTTTGTGTGATTTATGGACTCTGAGTTTCTTATGAATATTTTAAAGAAGCTTAAGGAATATATATATATAAATATAGGCTTGAAAAATGATTTTGCTGATAAATAATCATAAGATATTTCTGACCTAGGATTTTAATTTTTCAGTTTAATATACTATGTTGCTAGATCAGCACCTAAATTTAGAAGGACTAACTATATGTTTTTCAAAAAAAAAGAGGTTTGCTTATCATTTTTTTCAGTAAGCATTAGGCAATATACTTATCACACTTTCTTTGCTTTGCTTGGTCTTTAACTTCAACAGAAAGTTTTGTAAATGTAGGATTTTGATAATTGATATTCCATGTTTGATAGTCATGTCTTTAGTCTTGAAAGGTGTTGAGGGTTTGATACGTGTAGCGTTAGTGGGCTTGGGTGGGTTCTTGGCTCCAAGCAACTTAAGAAGAGGGGAAGTTTGGATGTAGTTGTTCTAGAATTATATTCTAAGAAGATTTGTTTAATTTTCTTCAGGATTTAACTCTTTTAGCACTTTTGGAATACATGATATGACCTGTTGACTTTTTTTATAGCCTAAAGAGCAATCTCTGCCTCCAATATGAATTCTAAGAATTTATTTTTTTTTCCAGTTGGCCATAATGGCAGGTGAAGAAATTAATGAAGACTATCCAGTAGAAATTCATGAGTATTTATCAACATTTGAGAATTCCATTGGTGCTGTGGATGAGATGCTGAAGACTATGATGTCTGTTTCTAGAAATGAGTTGTTGCAGAAGGTATTTTAAAAATGTGATTTCTAAAACAGAGTACTGTGTTATGAAACATGCAGAAGAAGAAATAGATTAATGATATATGCCCCTTTCTCCCTTTATGTCAATTTTATAAGTGTTTGGGTATTATTAGGGGAACAAAACAAAACAAAACTCCAATCTTAGGAAATACCTCCTAACTATATTTTTATTTTGACTTGGTTTTGGAAAAAAGGAGCACTCATAGCATTCTTTTTGACAGACTCTATCTTTGACCTTTTAAGTATTACAATGATGTTATCAGGGTTTCTGGAAACCCTATAGGACAAAAAGAGTAAATTGACTTTGACAGTCTAAAACAAATCTCATTATGTTTCTTCTGTCTTTGGTATTGCCTAAGCATTTTAGCCTGCTTCTTATACATAAATGCATCATGTACCAGGTTTATATGGATAAATTACTTTTGACATACAAAGCCCAGATCGTAACTCCTGAATTAAAATAATTCAAAAGAATTTTTCTTGGATTATAGACATTCCTTGTCTAACTAAAGATGGTACCCTGAAGTGAATATTTGTGGGCAAAAATCACTGGTTAACGAAACTTCTTCTTTTTGCAAATTGTTTCCAGAGCATTTGGTTATTGGATTATAGGAAGTGAAAAAAACATTTCTTTGATACATTGTGCTTGGTGAGAGTATAAAATACCATGTGATGGTGCTCAAAGTTTGTGTGTATTTCTTTATATTCTCTCTCTGTCTTTTTTTTTTTTAATAGTTGGACCCACTTGAACAAGCGAAAGTGGATTTAGTTTCTGCTTACACATTAAATTCAATGTTTTGGGGTATGTATTATTACTTTGGAGTTAATTAGAAAGCAAATTATTTATTGTGTCAAAGGTGATTTATTTTTTAAATTGTTGCAATTTATATACAGTTATTCTTTATGGCAATTTTAATAGTCAGATATTTATTTCTTTTAAATCAGCATACCAGATGCCCATGAGCCACACATAAATTTAATATTACATAGAAATTGAATAATTTAAGATTTAATTAATTATTTGTGTGACTTCTTTTTTGTGAGTAGAGTTTCTTTAATTAATGCTCTTAATTAATATATACACCATTTAATTCCATGAAATCTTTCTTTTGTAGTTTATTTGGCAACTCAGGGAGTTAATCCTAAGGAACATCCAGTAAAGCAGGAATTGGTAAGATTGCAGCGGGTTTCTTTTTATTTTACGTGTCTGTCTGTTACAGAATGCCTGAAGTTCAAGTCACAGTACCTTTCTCACACTAATTGTGGAGAACAAAATTATTTAGAGTTGAAATTATGAAAGTGAGCCAGATTTCATCATGTCTTTAGTTTTTCTTTTTCTTACTTGTGTCAGAGAATTGGTGTTCCATATATTATATAAATCTCTGGATGGGACAATGTTATGATTCTAGTAATTATTTATAACTTCCATATTATTTTTCCTATAAATTCTTGAAATCCTGTTCATCTCTACAACTGCCTTTTTTTTTTTGTTTAAACTCTTACACAATTCTTAAAAGTATATTCTAGTTGATTTACTAGCAAAGACGGGAAAGTTTCTCCCCCACCTTTTCAATTCTTCCATTAATTCATTTTCTCAGCAGTAAAGAATCTAGTTCAGCAACAAAGCTAAAAGCTTTTTTGGCACCAGTTGTATGTGTACTGTCCAGTAATTCTGCATTAGTGACATATTTACAACCTGTAATAAATCTTCTAGGTTTGTCTTTGTATTCCATTTAGATGTATAAGTACAGTATATAAGGTCTGGTATCTTGGAGTTTTTGCTGACTTCAAAAATTAAATCATTCAATTTAAAAGAAAAAAATTAGAAATCAAACTTATGGTTACCTTCTTGACTTGGCTTTATGAATAAGAATATTAATAAATTTATTCTTTGTGTTTATAAAATATAAAGTAAATATATGTGAAATACACTTGACACTGTATTATTGTTCTCAAGTCTTATGGTGGTTGATACGTATGTTATTTACAACTTAGTAAAGTACTTGGTCATTTATTTAAAAAAAAATGAGTAAACCAGATCTGTTGTCTTCATTTTTTTAACTTGTGGACCAAGACATTTTCTTCTTTTAAAGTTCTTGAGGGAAAAATAAATTTATTTTTAAGTTCAGAAATTGTGAAAAAGACTTAAAGCAAAAATATAAAGCAATATGATACACAGATCTTGATTTGACCAGTGATAACTGGCTTTAAATCCTAAGAAGTATGCACTGTGTCATCTGTTTTCAACTTTCTAATAATGAACTTTACATTCATAAAATTCCTCTTTTTTTCTTTAACACAAAGTTATTTGGAGTATTTTAATACTTGATTCTGTCGTTGGAAGAGGATAAAATCATCTGTCTTCTTTCTCCCTCAGAACCCACTTTATAGAGCAGTACATTCATATTCTGGACAAGGGTTGGCAAATAAATAACATAAACCTATTCCCCTTTTCTTTATTTTTTTCTTTTTTGCTGAGGAACATTTGCCCTGAGCTAACATCTGTGCCAGTCTTGCTCTATTTTGTATGTGGGTTGCTACCACAGCGTGGCTGATGAGTGGTGTAGGCCCGTGCTCGGGATCTGAACCTGCTAACCGGGGCTGCCAAAGCAGAGCACGCCAACTTAACCACTAGGCTGCAGGGCTGGCCTCCTATTCCGGTTTTCTGACCTTGTGTCAGACATTGCTTATTGATCACGGAGTTAGTGTGTGAGAGGAAACCTATTTGCCATATATGTCATGAATGAGGAAAGGCATTGAAAATAGTCAGTTTATTCATTCAACAAATATTTGACTGCCTACTGGGAGCCAGGCATTATTTCCAGGTGAGATGATTCCTCAGTGAATAAAGCTGATAAATATCCCTGTCTTTGTGGTGGAAGCCAGATTATCCAGTGGAGGGAGACAAACATTATAATAAAACAAACAAACAAATAATAAATATATATGAATATATAGTATGTTAGAAAGTTACATGCTATGGGAAAAAAGAAGAAGGGGAAGGGGGATTGGAGCACTTGGGTAGGATTCCCATTTTAAATGGTTAAGGCAGGGCCTGTTAACCAGGTTAACATTGAGCCGACTGGAAGGAAGAGAGGGAGTGGCTGGGTGGGTATTCGAGGGGAGGTCATTCAGGCAGGGCTGGATGGGAGTGTATAGAGAGGACTTTGGCTTTTACTCTAAGAGAAATAAATAGGTAGCTATGAGAGGGTTTTGAACAGAGTTTTCACTCTTACTGTTAAAGTCTAAGGTTCTGCATTTTTCTGTGTATGTTTATGTAACTATTTTGATTATTTTAATGAAACTTGCTTTTAAGCAGTGATCAATCATTTGCTCTCCTGTTTTACGGCCCTCATCACCTTTATTTCTCCAATTGATGTATAGAATAGCCCTTTATTCTGATTAATGGTCTCAGAAGATTCCAAGTGGTGTGACAGCCTATTAGTTTCTCACCTTGTAAAGTCTGATTAGAACTGTATATTTCATTAGAAAGTATCATGTGCTTATCAATCAAAACTATGAAATTGAATGAAAGATCTTGTGTTTTCATTCTGCTTATTTTAATTGGGACACTAAAAGGTAACATAAAAAAATAGTTAACTACTGCCTCTTCCGTTTCCTGTTTAGAAAAATTTCAAGGGTTTGGTTTGTATGTTGCAAGTATATGAGAGCCCTGTTTTAGATTATAGACTTCAGATACATAAGAGTTAATATGTGAATTTAGGTTAATGCTACATTAAAAAATGTATAACCACATATAAACAATTCAGTGTTTCTCTCTGTAGTGATGTCTTAGTCTAGTTCTTCCTCTTTTGAAACACTCAGAATGCTTCTGCAATGACTTTTTAATGTCTGAACTCCCCCAGACTGTGAACTCCGGGAGAGCAGGGAGCGTGTTTACCCTGTTCACTTGCACTTACCAGCGCCACTCAATAGGCAGTAAATACATATCTGTTGAGTTTAACTGAGGTGTAGTGTCGTAAAACTCAGTGGTAGGGAACAGCTTAGTAAATCTATTGCCTTTCTTCTTTTTTTATCTTTCAGGAAAGAATCAGAGTGTACATGAACAGAGTCAAGGAAATAACAGACAAGAAAAAGGCTGGCAAGCTGGACAGAGGTGCAGCTTCAAGATTTGTAAAAAATGCCCTCTGGGAACCAAAACCTAAAAATGCATCCAAAGTTGCCAATAAAGGAAAAAGTAAAAATTAACCTTTTGGTTTTGATGTATGTATATTCAAAAAGTACATCATTTTTATTGTTTATCACAAAATGATGATTCTGTGGCAATGCAGGGTTTAAATGTATTCCGTATTGAATTCGTATATAAAGTTTACATTTTAAATTCTAATGCTAAATACTTTTTTTCTCCAGAAAGATTGTTATCTTTATTGATTATCCTGTGATTACTGTGAGGTTTTTAACATTGTGGTGTATTTTATATTTATAGTTTACCATCTCTCTTCACAAGACTCTTATTTCCTTGTATAGGTCAGTCTTTCAAGTACCATTTTATAAGCAACTATGAAATTTAAGTTAAATGTTCTTTGTAAACATTTGTCTATCTTGAATAAATGACTTTATGAAGTATGCTATCTGAAAGCTGAAATTATAAATACATCGGTTTTCACTATATAATATTAAGAAAGAATGAAATGACTTAAATGTCCATTTTTTTCTGTGCAGTTCATCATGTTTTCATGATTTTGGGAATTATTGCTTTTTTTGATATTTGAAGTGTGAAATTAAAACTTTCAGGTTATACTTTAATTCTTGGCACTTTTCTTCTATGTCCCATTTAAAGTAAAATATATTCTCAATTAACTTTAGATGGGAAATGGGGTTGTGTATTGATGGGAGGTTGTATATTCATGGCTGAATTTCAGCATAATGGCTATACCCTATCAATAAAGGCTATAAATGTTGTGTAGCTTACCTGTTTATTTTTCTCTTTTGAGTAAATTTGCCCTTGAAATTAAGAAGATAGGTTTTAGAAATCACAAGGAATAGAGAAATTCTTGATTTTCTGTTCCTGATGCATAGTGCCCACAGTTCTCTTGGTCTCACTTTTTCATATTTTTTGATACATGTTTTTGTGACTATAGCAAGTATATACAAGTGTTTTGGAACAACTTTCTATGTTATATAATGTCCCTTAAGCAGAGGAGAAATCCAAAGGAGATTACATTGTATTTATATTCTGATTTATTTTTCTGGAATAAAATTACAGAGAATTCTACATATTAAAAAAAATTTTTTTTTTATGTCTAAGCCCATGAATTTTAATTATATGCCCTTAATGCTTTCAGTCTTTGAATCTACATCATTATGTGTAGGAATGCCAAGTACAGTTAAAGTACTTTAATTTTTGAAAAAGAAGTTGTTAAAATTTTCTGTGTGATTAATTCTCTATAAGTAACCTTGAATAAATGGATTTCTTGATTTATGGTAGCAGATATTGGAAACGGTCTTAAAATATAATGGATTTTGTAAAGCATGTTGAACTCTTTCTATTACACATGAAGAGGAAGTCACTGATAGATGCAGCAAGTCTTCTGGCTCAGATGTCAGGTGGTTTTTGAAGTGGAAGAACATTTATAGTTATTTCATTCCTTTTTTCACCTTCATCCTCTCACATTTCCAGCTTTTTTAAAGTAACTTCTTTATGAGAAAAAGAAATGTTAAGATCAAGTGTAGTGTACATGTGGCCCTGTGTTATTTATTGCAAAGAAACTTATAACTTGCATTTCTGTATATTTTCTAATTTCACAAAAAAGAGTTAAATGAAAAATGTCATACAGTTGCAGAAAATCATTAGCCAAATTATTGGTTTGTGAAAGTCCTACTCTACATTTTCTTAAATTGAAGATTCTTAGGTGAATAATTCTTTCAGTGTTTATTAGTAGAAATAAAAAACAGTTTGAGCATATTCCATTTTATTATGTATAATTTTAACTACTTATTATGTAGCACATAATAAGGGGCTGAATGGTAGTAGTGCATTGGGTTGCTTATTTGTTTGTTAGGTATTCATTTCACAAATATTTAATGACATTTACATTGCCAAATACTGTGCTAGGTAACAAATAAGACCACTCCAGCCTTGATTCTATTTTTATAGTGTTATGAAAAAAGTAGTCTTTTCATGCAATTCAGTTTTTAGAGTTACTGGAAAATTTATGACAAATTGTGCTTATTAACCTTAGTCAGAACCATAAGGGGTGATGGGTTGATCTATTTGACTATGGAATGGTTATTGTTAGCATAGTTTGTTCCCAGTGACAGTCTGCTCTAAGTTTAGATGTTAATTACATCTTTTATTAATCTCTTTGGGAATTAACAAGTTGGAGAGGTTATGGCTATAGATATTTTTAAGATTGGAATGATAGACTATTAATCTAATACTAAATAATGAGATTTTGTCTTTTAATATTATTTTAAGTACAATTTCTTTTTGTTCATAGTTGCAGGATGGGAATTCATTTTAGTAAAGTAGAGTATGTTAAGAGGAAAATTGAAGCTTGAATTATGGTTTATATTCCTGGAATTAGGAGGTTATGTCAAGTTGATTGGTTTTTAAGATACCTTGCAGATTAAAAAATTGTTCTACTTAGCTATTAGAAATAGATTGGTATTATTTCTAAATAAGGCTTTTAAAATTGACTAGAAATGTAGGAAATCCTTCAAAAATGGACAATGTAGTGAATATAGATACTTTTTTCTTAAGTAGGTCATTGGAGAAAAAGATGCTTTAGTAATCACTCAGTTTATGATACAGTTAAACTATAATTTTATGCAATAAATTATCAGAAATTCTGGCTTTACAAAGTGACATTAACTGAGAAGGATTTGAAAGGTGATTGTGACCCTCATGTAATAGCTAAGTTGGTATATAAAGGGAAGAACAGGAAGCCCTGGCTTCTCATTTTCTCCTTCATAGCATAGTTAGTAAACTGGCTCAGATAAATTCAGTGGCTTTTTTACTGAGTGACCTTGGTAGCAACCCCTTTTATATAAATGTGATCTGAGTGTACTTTACTAATAAAAATACTTCCTTTTCCCTATATCCTGGTCTAAAACTCTTCAGTTTTGGAAATACAAACCATATTTTGTTTATTTTATATATTAGCATTTTATAGGTGTCATTTACAATTATGTTAGGGGGAAAATATACAGGACTTTATAATAGAATTCTGTATATTTGTTCTACTTGATTAATTTGCTATTATATTGCTTGTGAGCAAGATTTCAAGAAAATGCTTTGAATGTTTTTGGTTTGCAGATTTGTTTTTCTATCAGAGTGAGCTGTCCTAGACGAGCCACCTTCTGACTTAATCTACCTTTTTAAAGTGCTTATTTTATGGCATAATTTTTAATATAGCCAGGAAGATTAGTAAAGCTATCTAGAAAAGGGGATAGCTATAGTGATATCTATGGGCAATTGAAGTTTAATTTTAATTCTGTCCCCCCCTCCAAAAGCCAAAAACCAAAACCAACCTAGCTCTGTATAACTCATCTGTTAATAAAAGGTTGAGAAAAGATGCTAGTCCCCCACTCCCCCCACAAATCTTGAAGTTTGGCAAATGTATCATGGCGGTATAACTGCATGCAAGATGTCAATTTTGTAAAGTGATATATTTCAGACAGTATAGAAAATTTGATGGTAGGAAAAATAAGCTTTATAAATGAAACATTTAAGAGACTCTTTTTTACTATTTGCTTTCAGTTTAGTGTTGCCTTTAAGGCGCACCATTTCAGTTTGGCAGCTACGATAAATGACTGAAGGAAATTGAAGATGATAATTCAACATTTCGAGATGCTTCTGCTGAAATGAATGTAGACCTATCCAGGGCTTGAATTTAAAGTTTATAGTAATACAGTATTTTAAAGCCAAGTACCCAGGAAATTCATGGTGATATGATTTGAATGAGATGATTAGGAGAAATAGAAAAGAATACCTTCAATTCCTTGTTATGTGGGTGTTTATCTATTGAGAGGCTATGTTGAAAAATGTTACTGTAAAAAGAACAGAGGCTTGTTATTACACAATTTGCTATAGTGTATAATTCATCTTGGACCTTATCCAAAGAAGTTTAGTTATTAAAATAACAAAAGAATAAGTATAATAAAGAATCACCTGTGATTTAGTGCTATAGCAGTGGATTGCCTGCAGACCATGCTGTAATGTGTCTGGCTGATATTGTTTTATTTAGTGACCTTTGCTGTCTCTAATAACGCATTCCTTGACTTACTTAAACTGAAATCATTTGCTACCCTATTTCTGATATTTTCTTCTCTATTATTTTTTCCTTAAGAAAGAAATCATTATTACAAGTATGTATAATAGTTGCTGGGTTTTGACATTTGCGAGTTTTAATATTTGTGATTTTGACTATGTGTGAATGACCTTAGAGGTCCATAGGGTATATAATGTTTTGCAGTTTTGCCAAGACACAGTGTTTATTCCTGCTAAATTCCATTCAGGAAGGCATTACTCAGCTAGTGATTTAGCCTAGCTAACCTCTCAGCATCCACAGTTTTTTTCCTCACTTGCAGTCTCATTCTTTTATTCACTCATTCATTCAACTAATATTTATTGAGCTCCTCCTGTGTCCCAGCTTCCGTTTTAGGCATGGGAAATTCAGCAGTTGTCCAAACAGTATGTAGTGATAGGAAAATGTCAAACTTTATCATTTGAAAAATGGCTGCTATGGGTTGAACTGTGTTCCCCCAAAATGTGTATGTTGAAGTCCTAACTCTCAAAACCTCATAATGTAACCCTATTTAGAAATAGGGTTGTTGCAGCTGTAGTTAGTGAAGATGAGGTCATAGAGTGGGCCCTAATCCAGTATGACAGGTGTCCTTATAAAAAGGGGAAATTTGAACATAGACACATATACAGGGAGAACACCACGTGAAGATAAAGGCAGAGATGGTGGTAATGCTTCTATAAGCCAAAGAATGCCAGAGATTGCCAGAAAACCACCAGAAGCTAGGTTAGAAGCATAGAACAGAGTCTGTCTCTCACAGCCCTCAGAGGGAACCAACCTTGCCAACACTGTGATTTTGGACTTCTAGCCTGCAGAACTTTGAGACAATACATTTCTGTTGTGTAAGCCACCCAGTTTGTGGTACTTTCTTATGGCAGCCGTGGCAAACTAATACAATGGTCATTAGATGAGAGGAATTAAAAAGATTAATAGCTTGGATGTGAAAGTGTGAGAAACTATGACACAAGATGAAAATGTAATTCTGAAGACCAGGAACCTGTGTAAACTTATCCAGGAATATTTTTGAATTTGGGCAAAGATCTCAAGACTTAGACCTTGAAATGTCAAAGGTCTGTTATACTCTTTCTTTCTTTTTTTTTTCAAATTAGAACCAGGTCTTTTATTTAATTTATTTATTTCTTTTTCCCCCAAAGCCCCAGTAGATAGTTGTGTGTCATAGCTGCACATCCTTTTAGTTGTTGTATGTGGGATGTGGCCTCAGCATGGCCGGAGAAACTGTGCGTCGGTGCGCGCCCGGGATCCGAACCCGGGCCGCCAGCAGTGGAGCACCCGCACTTAACCACTAAGCCACAGGGCCGGCCTCTGTTATACTCTTTCTGAAGCCAAAATGTTCAGACCTTTCTAGCAGACATTGTCAGTTATATGATTGAGTGTGCCATCTTTTAAACTTTGTTACCTTGATTTGAAGAAACTCATTTCCCTGAAGGAAAGAACACCCTGTCGAGTTTCCATGGAGAGGAGATTTTCACCAAGCCTATTATTATGTGCCATGTGGTCTTTTCCTAATATAATGCAGCAGTCAAGTTCAAATAATGAAAATAAATACTTACACATCTTACACAAATTGTACGTAATTTGTGCTCTTGGATGAGTACATACCTTAAAATCTCATATTGAATTCATCTGGATAGAATTTAAAAAAAAAATTTTTTTTTTTCAAATTCTTAGCTGTATAGTGTGCTATTTGGTTTTCTTTCTTTGAAGTTGAGTACTAGAGAATTCTGAAGTGGATTTTTACTCTTAATGATTTGGGCTCAGTTTAATTGTTTTACTATTATAAATATTGCTTACTGGTTTTCAGCTTTTAGAATCAACCAGTAGATTAAACATAGAAGATGAGAATGTAAACGAAATCAATCTTGACAATGTAAAAGTAAAGGTATAATAGAAGTGAGTTAGAAATGGGGAGAACAGAAGAGGGCATCCTTATCTGGGGAGAAATCCAGATGCTACACAAACAACACTGTTGGATGAATACGGTTTTAAGTTTATTTCAGTTAATAGGTATATTAGGTAATAGGTATATTATTCTTTTTAATTTTTCCATCAGAAACTGGAAGGAGTAAGAGGAGGGAGTAGTATAAATTAAATGTTCATTTTTAGGATGGGGAGTCAGTAGATGAGGTCCAGTGAAAAATAGCAATGCAGGTATGCATTATAAAGGT